CATAAAAAGATATAGAAGATAGAAGATAAAAGAAAAAGAGAAAGAAAAGAGATCAATCGTCCATACGAATATGCAGCCTCTACTTTGCTATCTCCAAAGTCATACTATCATCCAACCCAAGAAGAAGCACACTTCTAATTCCTTTAATCCAAGTCTCTTTGGGTCTTTCTCTCCCTCTCCTCCCCGCCTCTTCTCCCCACTGCTCAACTCATCTGATAGGTGCATCACTCCATCTTCTACACACATGACCAAACCACTGCAATCGAGATTTCTGCATTTTATCTTTTAATTCATCTATAGGTGCTACTCCAACATTTTGTCTGAATATCTCATTCCTCAAGCGGTCTTTTCTTTTTCTGATATGTGAAAATTTTGACAATTTCAAATTTTCTCAAGTCCATTGTTGTTATGTAATTCACAAGCATGCAAAGATTACTGAAAAAGTTTTGAGTATGTCTCGTTTGGAAGAAAAGGTTCTTTTGCTATCATGACTTTTGTGTTGGCTTTTGTGTATGATTATGTGAAATTGATGAAAACTTAGACATATATACCTATATGGCTTATTGGCTTTGATAGAAATTCTTGAAATTCTAGTATTCTAGATGAATATGAATGCTCTGTGGGACTATGTTCAGAACAAGCTGCATTTTTCTTTGTCCCTTTTTTTTTGGGTTTCAACTGTGAAGCACATGGATACTGCTGGATTTTGTAAACTCAAACGTTGCTACTCCCACCGTCCCGTACTCCCGTTGCAAGGTTCCCGTGGGTATTTGGCACGATTTTTTAGGCAAGTGGTTAAATAAAGTAATTTGGGTAAAAAAAGATAGGAAAGAGAAAATTTAGAAAAAGTAAACATATAAAGTGAAAGTATTAAAGGGAGATAAGTTGGGGGATGGAAAATTGTGAGACTTGACATGTAATGAGTATGAAAGAGTAGGAAAGAGAAATTTGAGTAAATGTGTAATTAAAAATAGTAAACTATTTCCTAAAATGGAATGAAACCCTTTAAATGGGACACCCAAATAAGTAAAGTGTGAACCTTCCAACGGGACGGAAGGAGTACTTTGTTTTTTGGTTGGTTAAATGCATATGAACCCGAGGACAACAATTGTAATGTTTGGAGTAACAATTACATATGTAGTATTATACTCCGTAGTAGGTTAACTCTTTGTTCTATAAGCAAATGGATTTTTTTGTTGATTGTAAAATGTTGTCAGGTTTAATATGATGCTGATCAGACTAGATGGCTATAATTACTCGAGCCAAATAAACATACTCATCTCCTAATCATTCTAAAGTTCACCAAACAATGGAATTTTAATCCCTCTTTATTCCTTCTAAAACCTAGTCCCAAGGAATAAATATTGAATTCCATGTACATTCCCTATTTGTAATCGAATGACCCAACAATATGTGTTATGCAAAAAATAATAATCTCTGCACAAGGTAAAGAAAACAAGTTGCAGTGTTTTTGTCAAACTCACTTCTACTCTTTTCTGTGGCTTTCCTATTTCTAACATTTCTGAAAGTTGTGGATAACATCACTTGAGGATAAATTTGTCTTTTGAGTAACAATTTACTTTTCTCACTATCTTCTATGCATATCCTACTCTCATTCCATACATAATAATATACACCATTTCTCACCTTTTTGTTTCTTCGTACCGTCCTACCTCCCCTCTATTTCTTCCGTCTCTATTTCTCCTAATCTAAACAGAGCATATCATTTTTTTACCGAGGAAATTGCTCATACAAGGACTAAAACATAGTCATCCTTTAAAAATAGGACCACATGTTTTGTTTTCCGTAAATATAATTAACGAATATTATGATAGATTGCAGTAGGTAAAAGTAGGTGTGGTTCGGTACAGTATACCGAATATTTTCTCTCATACCTTTACCGTACCAAAACTTTCGGTATGAAAAATTTATATACCGTTACCTTACCGAAGTTTCGGTATACCGCATTTCGGTATACCGAAGTTTCGGTTCGATAACGGTACGGTATCGGTAAATTACTATGCATGTCTCCCAATACAACAAATTATCATAGACTAACGAAATATGCTAAATCGGTGTTACTAGTGACATATTTATTTCATTATTAAAATTTTACAAATATAATTAATAATCTATTGATGTCATACTCAATATTGAACAATAATTATTATTAGTATATTTAGGCAATTCAACATGCCACGTATTAAAAAACAACACATTCTCCTAAAATAACTTGAACGATATAGATATAATTAAATCAATAGTGATCTCTTCTAACAATAATAAATAAAATTATTCAAACAACATGGATAAAAAATCATTTATTTCTAATACTACCTCTGTCCCAAAATGTTTAGCCAAATCTCAAAATTTGGACCCTGGTTTTGATTAGTATAATATTATGAAAGTTATAAATTTTATACTTTTACGAAAGTACTTTTAACAAAGAACATTTTCATATAATTTTTATGTTATAAATAATTTCCAATAAATATATATTAATCTTCAAAGTTTTGGATTTGACTAATCATTTTGGGATGGAGGTAGTATGAATGTATGATATTGCGCATTTAGTCATTTTTATATTTTTTTTTAAAAAATGAATAAGACTTTCGGACAAAGTTGTGTGTCTCGACTCGTGGAATCCCTGTGTAGATACACCTGTCACATAAGTGTACCTCTCTCCACTCATCAGCTACTCAGCGACTCAGTCATCGCAACTCGCAAGCTCTTGGAACAAGATGAACTTGTTTTTGGACATTAGTACATTACTAATTAGTCATTGGAGATTTGTAACCAATTTAAGTATTAATTTTGGGCTTCAGAATTGTAATGGAGTTTTACAATACTCTAGAATTAAAAGTAATAATTGTTGGGTAGGGAGTCGGTACGGTATTATACCGGTATACCGCGGTATTTGAAAACATTTACCGTTACCGTACCGAAATAAATCGGTACGGTATCATACCGTACCGAAAATGATGGTATACCAATATTCCGGTAATTTTCGATATTTTTCGGTACGGTAAGTGCGGTATACCGATTTTCCGGTATTTTTGCCCACCCCTAGGTAAAAGGCTGAAAGTTCATACGCGGAGCAGACTGGAGGCACACTTTTACTAATACTACTACTACTAGTACTACTACTAATACTATTATAATAATAATAATTATTATTATTATTATTATTATTATTATTATTGTTATTTATGTCTGCAGTAATTAATGTTGGTTAATGTGATAGTGGGTAGTTAGGATGTTTTTACTTGGACTGTAATTCATCCCAGACCAGACCAGTTCAGACCAGACTTGGATAGTTATAAAAATACAAAGAAACCAGACCAGACCAGACCAATTCAGACCAGACTAGACTAGACCAGACCAGCAGCAAATTACAGTCCAAGTAAAAACATCCTTACTCCTCAGGCAACTAGCAGGGCACAAGGCATTTAGTTGGCAGTTAAAGTTTATGGAAGTTATAATCTGTAACCAACCTTCCTCTATTTAAGAGAAGGTTTATTTTCAATAGTGAATATCAGAAAAAGTTTGTCAATAATTAGAATCAGGGAGTTGGAGAATTCTCAACAAAAATTCTCATCTTCTTCCTCCACCATTCCACACGATATTCACACTACACGACTGCAGGCTGCAGCATATATATGCCAGCAAGCAACACCGTCAATCAGACCTCCGAGCAACCTTCTGTCTCCTATTCCGGTCCCGTGACGCGATCCCAAACCCGGGCACATAACATATTAATAGGACTAAATATTACATGTCTACCCCTAATATAATTACAACAACTACAACATCCAAGTCTAATATAATTAATTGTCCCCTAGTTCCCTAGCACATCTTGTTTAGTCTGTTGGTGGCGGCAGTCCAGTACTAGCACAGAACTCTGGCGGCTGTGGCTGCAGAAAACCCCCGGCGGCCGGGGGCAGTCTGGTTGCAGCATTGCTACAACCCTACAAGGGTATTTTTGTCCAATCACAAATAATAAGTCCTATTTATGGAACTTTAAACATTTGGTCCTACTTTTGGAAAATAGACATGTTCTCGTCCTATTTGTGGAAGTCTCCCTTTTTACCTGATCACTGTTGACATGCATTTAGAATGCTTGAAGTGTCAACCCATTGAGATGAATTATCAAAAGCAGAAAAAGAAGTGTGTCAAACTAGTGGTGGGTATTTTGGTTCACTATGATCTAACTGGCAGATCCCTATCCAATTAGATTTTAGTTTGGTAATGTTTCTTACTTGATCTCAACCGGTATTAAAAAACGAACAAACCAAACCAAACCAATATAATCCTAATAAAAAATACCACAAAACTGTAACAAAACTGAGCAAAACTATGTTTGGATTTAATCAAAAATCATCTCAGGGCTTATTCATTCATTCAAACTAAACCAGACTGGAAAAGAAAACAGAAACCCAAAAAACCCAAGCCCTAATGTCCACCCCTAGTGAAATTCCCAACTAACATGCTGCTGTTCGAAATGTTTGTACCACATTAAGCATTCCACAAAAAGTAGGGCATAGTCTGAGCCTTTGAGGGTAAGGAAGTTGTGCACAATTTCACAACTTCAAGAGAAATGGTTTATATAGCTTAAACAGCTGTGCATTTGGTCTATACTCTACATTATAAGCCCAAACTCCAGAGTGCTGTCCAATTACATTAGGAATAACGTTTAGAAGTCATCTAAATAAACATATTTCGTTGATATTCCACAGCCATGGATTTTTTTTGGAGATAGTGAGCAACAGAGATGAACAATTTAGTAATAACCTACACCTCTTAACATTTGAGTCATTCATGTGTCATGACTAATGAACAAATAAAGCCCTAAATGGTTAAATTTGATAGGAAATTTTATTGAAGTCCAAGATGGATGAACGATCAAAGTAGAGCAGAAAAAGTTTATAGGCTAATTATGGTGGCTTGTGAAGAGATAATCTAAATTCAAAACATAAACAATTAAACTTTTGATGACACACCTGATAGAGTGTCTGGGGAGGTGGCTGTCCTGGCATAATAAATGAAGAGCCCATTGGACCTGGAGGTTTACCTCCCTAAATGTTAAAAAAAATGAGTAAAAACATTGGAATTTTGATATATATATATACTGGGAACCAATCCTCACTAAACCGGGAGGGGGAGCTTACTTGCAACTTACATGAAACATGGGTTGTGAATGGTGAATCTGAGGTGGTGGTCCAGCCTGTTGAAACCCTACATTGGGCCCAATCTGGGGGTTTATTTGCTGAGAAAAGGACTGCACTGAAGGTCTCACCTGTGGTGGTGGTAGTGGCGGCTGCAATGTCGACAGATGCTGCTGCATGCCACCACTCTGTATCGATTGGTCCAACTGAGTAGGAACGGAGGAGATGTGTGGTTGAAGATGAGGAAGTGGTGGCATGTTTGGATGAGGTGGCAATGAAACTGACGCTGACAGGGCACTAGTGTGTGATTTAGGCTGTTGTGCAGGATGTAATGGATGAGGTGGCAAGGATGGTGGCTGAAGGTTTGATGGGGGAGCAGTCACAGGTGTCACTAATAATGGAGGTTGCATTTGGTGCGGTTTTCTCATTTGGTCCTGCAAATTCATTTGTCCTGATGATACTGCTGGAACAGGATGAGTATTTGACTGCTGAATGTGAGATGGCGTGCCCATCTAACATAGAAGTAAGAGAAATCGCAAGATGCAAATATTATGTGTATATAAACTGATGCATCTCACGTGATACAGGAAAACACACATATGTATGTATACACACACATACATATAGAGAGAGGAAAATGTTGTTCTTACACGTAATATTTACCTCCACATGCATATTAGCCCCTAAGGGGTTTTAGGTGCAAATATACCCTTAAGAGCGCATATTGGCTTCGAATGCTACAAAAAATTAAAATCTAAATGTAATTAATTCAATTTAAACAAAGAAATTAAAATAACAAAAAAATCAATGTAATATATCTGTATTAAGTGTGAAAAAACTATTACAAAACAAAACTATAACCGACTAATTTTATATTTGCAACACATGTATCCTAAAATCACCAACAAGTTCAACTAGTTGGAACAAAGGTGTTGTTAAATGATAATGAAACTTATGCCAAATGCTCCTTTTTATTGTTTTTGTTTAAAACTAATATTTTTTTCAATATCAACCAAATAATTTAAAGTTCAAGAAAAATCTAAAAATAACAGCCCACATAACGTCAAATAATCCATCATTATAAAAAACATTTAATTTAATCTAATAAGTGTAAACAAGAACAAACTTTTTCATATAAAATTTAACACATGCTTTTAAATTTTGCATAGCAAACAAAATGCTCAAATCTATGTTAATGTTTTAAAATATTTCTTTCAATATGGAAAGAAATAATAATTTTATTATATAAATAATATATAAAACATTTAGCACAAATTTAAGATATCTGTGTTGCAATTATATAACATACATGGTTTACACTAAAAACCATTTCTCATTTTTTATTTTCCCATTTTTCACAATCACTATATCAATTAACTATAAGCCTGTTTGGTAACACGAAAATCGACTGATTTGGCTAAAATTTATGAAGTTCTGGCTCAAGTGGCTGCATTGGCTGATTCTGCTGATTTAACAAAAGAATATTTTTAAAAAATATTTTATTAATAAAATAAAGAAAAAATTATATGTAAAATAGCTAAAATGGTCATCTACATTAACTTCAGCCAATTCAGCCAGAAAAGTAACTCCAACCTTACTTTTTCTTATTATTACACAATTCAGCGCGCGAAAACAAAAGTTACGTGTTTGGTGAAAAACCAATGTTAATGCTACCAAACGGCCTCTATGTTTGGCAATCTTTTAAAAAACTTTTCTTTTGCGGTTAAGACCAATAAGAGTCAAATTGCTCGCTGAAACATTATGGGTATTTTGCACCTTAAAATGATAGGGGCTAATCCGTGCCTGAAGATAAATATTAAGGGAGTAATTGCACCGCTTTGCTACATACGTATTACATTACAAAATTAGGTAATTAATAGCAGTTTTTGGGGATAGATAAAAAGCATACCGTCTGTGTTGGCTGAACCATCCCGAGCAATATTTGTGCCTTATTAACAAACAATTTTGACAACATTGGTTAATTATCAATGAAGGATCATATTTCATCACATATTAGATTATAGAACACATTGAAAATCATAAACTGTAGTAAATATTTGTTACATTAAGCATGTGATTCATAACAAAAGAAAACCTCCAATCTCTTATCACTTTTGCTAAAAGAGATTATTGAAATAGCTCTTTTATTGATATATGTGTGTGCATGGAGTCCCGTTCCTGTCCAGCCGGCCTGACGGGAACCACCATCCGGCCGAGGGAATTTTGGGACCTTCCCGGTGGTATTTTTTGAGCAAGTTCTTCATCAAGTCTATTTTACCCATACCAAATTTCAGCTAAAAATTCCATCGGGAAGGCAGTCAAATAATTTTTTTAAGATAATTGCGCTTTACATATAAATATAAACAGCGCAGCCTTTTCAATTACATGTTTTGCTGTCTTCCCGATTGAATTTTTAATTGAAATTTGGGATGAGTAAACTAGACTTGATGAAGAACATGCTCACAAAATTTCATCAAAAAATTCCATCGGGAAGGTCCCGAAATGCCCTCAGCCGAACGGCGGTTCCCATCAGGCTGGCTGGACATGCATTGTCCTCTGTATGTATGTATGTATGATTAATAACACACTTGTTTATATGTGGAGAATTTAAGCATTTTAAAGAAAGGTTTATCTTATTTCTATACTTCCTACTTACTACTAACTCTCTTAAAGACCTCGAAAGAAGTAATGTTATTTTGTTTTCTCGGTTAAAATTTTACCAAATTTATTCCCTCGACTTCTTTCAAATAATCAAATTCAATCCAAAGTCCAAACATCATGATTGCTTTCATTTTGTTGACCCTTCTACACATAAAGGACTATGGGCTCTTTTGACATTATGAATCATTTCATTGATTTGATAAGATTTGTGTCAAAGATTTGTGAAATTGAGATTCAAGTATTGAATATAGATATGTCACCAAAACTGGTTTAGCCATTGGCTTAATCAGTGGCGGCCATAGGAGGAGTGAGGCAAGGCAGTTGCCTTGGGCCTCCATTTTTTTGGGGCCCCATATTTTAAAAACATTATCAGTAATATGAATTACGAGTAGTGTTTAGCTTAATTTATTTACCAGATTGGGATTCATCGTTTACTGGTCCGCAGAGTCACGAAACACATTGATTATTGATTACTCAGAGAAGGGTAGAGCATTTAGGGTGATGTACCCTAGTACCCTACATTTATTTTATTCTCTGTTCATTAATTTTTAATATTTATCTTAGATAAAATCTCATTATATTACTCTTTAAAATATGACGGACAAAAAAAATTACTTGATAACTATTGGTGATTATAATTGTGTTCAAATTTACATTGTAGTAATTACATGTAAGTTTCTACAATGTAAACTTTAAACAAAATTGTAGTCACTATTAGTTACTACCTCCGTCCCATTAGAAGGTTCTCGTCCACTATTCACATGGTCGATTTAAATCATTTTTAATCTTTTACTTAATAAATCAAATTTTTATCAAATTTACATTTTTTATCGGCTTTGTAGCGGTTTTAATGTAGCTTCTGAATATGTTAATTTTATTTACTAAAAATAATCAGAGGGATTAAGTTGCTTTATCGCCAGTCAAGCATCGTAAACTGTCAACGGGAACCTTCTAGCGGGACTACTGAGTAATATTTTTGTCTATCACTGATATTTAAGAAAAAAATCCCTTTATGTAATGCTTTTCATAACTCATTGTTATTTATCTATCACTATATGGGTCCCTATTTTAATAAATATTTTTAGCTTCTTGTATTAAATATTACTCCGTAATACAAAGTAGTTTACCCCAATATCTTTTGGGACTAAGGCTTGGATGTTGTTGTTTGTTTGTTGTTGAATACAAAGTAGTTTATTTGTTGTTATATTGACTGCTCTTCTTTTATGTTGGTACAATAGTATAGGGTGGACTTTGCGTGTAACTAATTTTATTGATTAAATTGTCTTCATTTTTTAGAATTTTGCAATACCAATATATATTTGTTATATTTTTTCAAAGTTAGCATGAATGTAGCAATATTATTTAATTTGATTTGTGAATTTAATATAATAACTGTATTTGTGATAGCATATTCTAGATCTCTTTGTTGTATGTAATTTTTTGCCAATTTTTGCCAGTTACGAAGTACAATTTATTTTTCAAAATAGGTACAATATTTTGTATTGCTTTTATCTAGAAAATACACTAATATATGTTGGGTTAATTACGGATGTTTATATCTTGTCTGGGGCCTCAAAACCTCTCTAGCTGCCCCTGGGCTTAATTATGGAATTTGAATCCATTTACACATCATCACAAACAAATATGATGCATTCAACAATAAGAACATCTCCAAAGACCACTAGCTAAGTTCTAAGAGTCTTCTATGTGTTTGCACTCCCAGCCCAATCATGCAAAGGGAGCGAAATGACTTCAATTGATATGTGGAAGATCATGTAAATTGTTAAGGCAGAGGAATGGCTTCAGTTGATATGTGGTAGCCACATATTCACACCCACTAAATGTAGACATGTTTTCTTTATTTTGTCCAACAGAACCAAAGGATATGAGAGTTTATAACAATCAAATTTGCCTGTTCCATTTTACAATAATACTCATTATTCAAATAGGAAATTGGAATGGCCGATCGGCCCGATCACCTTAATTAGAAACCAATAGCATTCCAACCCAAATGCCAATGCATATGCCTTTATATAAACTAATAGCATTCCAAATCAGCTATGGTTATTTCCATTCACTAACCTCATGTTTTGTTTGAAAGTCAGCATATTACTTCCTACTTTTTGATAGATGTCAACTACAAAGAATCGTCAATAAAAAGATTCCCGGTATGTCTGAATCATGATTAATTAAGAGATGAGTAGAAATCAAATAAAGTAATAAAGTGTCTGCGCAACACAGTGCACATTGGCGTCCCTGCAAGGCGAGGGTCCGGGGATGGTCCCATCACAAGGGTTAAGGGTATAAGGAATCACAAGGGTATAAGGAACATGACTTCCCTCAATTTGACAAGAGGCCGCTCCCAAGACTTGTGACCTCTCAGTCACACAACAACACCCTAATAGGTGCGCCATGGCTCCCCTTCAAATAAAGTAATGAAGTCAAATCCTAAAAATCCTTGAAAGATGATTTTTGAAACAGAAGCTAATACATGGTCATGAGGAATAGTCGTTAGGGACTTAGGGGTCACTAAAACGTTGTAAGGGTGATTATTGGTGAATAACATGGACATTCATGGCAACAAAAAACTCATTTACCTAGCTCTTTAGCTTATTATCCACAAACTAATCTCTTCTTTTCCCTTTATGCAACTTTCCCATCTTGAAAATTACACCACCTAATCTACGCAGCACATCTTCTAAATTCGAAACAGCCTTTGTATATATACTGAGAATTTTATATAATAATACCTGAAAGAGATCTCTGGCCAACGTAGGGTTTTGAACCAGAATTTGCTTTGCTTGTTTCTCGTTCTGTTCCATAAGTTTCTGCAGCGCAAAAAATTGAAAAAGAAGATTAAAAGTTTGGATTTCAAATCCGTGTGCCCTACTTGAAAAAAGTGAAGTGTATGCGTCCGAGATGAGAGAAGGAATACAGTACCTTCATCTGAGACATGATGTCGTAGAGCTGATTCTTCGACATCCCAGCGATGTTCCCACCTTCGCTGCCGAACTCTTTTCCGGCCATCGTTTTCCGCAACTCTGGCTAGGTAAGGGGAGAATTGAACAGCAGCTGTAGTGGCTTGGATTCATGAAAAATTAAAATTATACTCAATAAAGTATCTGATGGGAGTATATGGCTCAGGGACCCCCGGCCCACATACTTCCTCTACTACAATCAGGCCCAACAAGCCCAAACGGGCCAAGTCCAGAAAAATGGAGCTCTAAGCAGCCCACAATACGCAAAGGGGGGCCTTCGGCCCCATGGCCGAAGGCTACCAGTGACGGAATCGAGCTCAGAAGCATCACAGGAGAACAAGGCTTGAAAACCAAGCCTTCGGCAACTGCAGTCCTCGGCAGGTAGGAGCCCTCGGTTAGAAGAAGCATCACAGGAGAACCAGGCTTGAAAACCAAGCCTTCGGCAACTGCAGCCCTCGGCAGGTAGGAGCCCTCGGTCAGAAGAGGCATCACAGGAGAACAAGGCTTGAAAACCAAGCCTTCGGCACCTGCAGCCCTCGGCATGTAGGAGCCCTCGGTTAGAAGAGGCATCACAGGAGAACAAGGCTTGAAAACCAAGCCTTCGGCACCTGCAGCCCTCGGCAGGTAGGAGCCCTCGGTTAGAAGAGCCTTCGGCCCAGCACCATTCAGCCGAAGGCATCCACCTCGACAGAATATCCTCTTCACATGCGCCTGGATCACCGTACCAAGTACAAACGTCACATCCAACCACCGCATTTAATGCGGCCACATGCGAGTGCCAGTGCCACCCCGGTCGAGGTGACCCCTCGACCACCAGAAAACTGACACGTGTCCTTATCTAGCATTTATTACTACTATAAATAGCACCCCTTTCCCTCATTGTAAACGACGCTTAATACATATCGAATATACACTCTCTCTCTTACTTGTTTGCTCTGACTTCTCTCTAGTTATTCTCCGCAATAACCCCTCGGATAAGCTACCCCCCGGGTACACTATCCATCATTTGGTGCTCTCGTTGAGAGGTCGAACGATCAAGTAAGAAACCCTCCCCCTTCGCCAAACACTAGCCCTCTACCAAAATGGTGAGAACAACACGTGCCAACTCCAAAAACGTAGAAGACAAGAACCTGGCCCTCGGCGACGTCAACGCCCCCGAAGCCTCTCACAAGGCTCCCGAGGGCGGTGTCATCGCTGGGCTGGAACAGGCGGCTGTCGACCTACGCCTTCAGATCCAGCAGAATGCCCCCGATGCCCGCCTCGGCATCGAGGCCAAGAAGAAAAACCGGAGCGATGACCAAGTCAGCCCTCCGGTCCTCACCATCGACGTTCATTCGGCACTCTCCGCCTTCATCCAGACGCTAACTCAGAACCCGGGTGCCTTCGGCACCCTGGCTCCGGCTCAACCCCAGGTTGGGGAGAACATCGTACTTCCCCCTCTGCCACACCCCTTCGGAAACCCCATCCCTCGGGTTAGGAATGACGAAGGGGTAGTGGCCCAAGACACGGCCTCCCAGGAAGTTCAGTCCCGGGACCGCCACAATGACAACAGAGAAAGGCCCCGCACTTCCGCCCTCAACCGGCTCGGAGGGGGGCAAGACCGCCGAGGGCCCCAAGAAAGCGGAGGGTCTGTCTCGAGGGCAGACGAGGAGCGTCCCCCTCGGGACAAAGGCAAGGCACCCCTTCATGCCGACGATGCTCGCCACCAGATCAACCAGGCCCACTCGGCTCGGGTTCGTTCGCAGGGGGCGGAGACCCTCCCGAAGGACCCCCGGGACAAAATTATTGCGGCCCTCCAACGCCGACTTGATGAAATGGAGGCCGACAAAGCTCACGCCACCACCTCCACCCCTCATTCAGACCTCAAATACGAGGCCATGATGGCCAAAATGGAGGAATTACAGAAGAAGGTAGCCGAGGGCTCCGGGGAACCCATCATCCAGCTCCGGACCCGGACGCCATTCACCCCAAGGGTATTGGCGGTCCAAATCCCGGAAAAGTACCGAGGGCAACTCATCAAGCCCTATGAAGGAAAAACTGACCCCCAGGAGCACTACAACAGGTATCAAAACAGCATGATGATGATGGGGGCATCAGATGAATACTTATGTCGTTGGTTCCTTTCCACCTTGGAGGGACCAGCATACGAATGGTTCAATCGATTGCCCGAGGGCAACATTGACTCTTGGCAAGATCTTGCCCAACGCTTCCTCACCCATTTTGCCGGAAGGAAGCACGCGAGAAAGCACTTCTCCCAGCTCCTCTCCGTCAAGCAACAGCCTGACGAAACACTTCGGTCCTTCATTGACCGGTGGATGAAGGAGACAGACGAGGTCGAGGGCGCCGACGAGCGTACCCTCCTCGTCCTCTTCCAGGGGGTTCTCCGCAGCAGCCCCTACGCACGGAGCCTCATCACCGACCCCCCAAGATCATACCTCAGAGCACTCCAGCGGGGGAGCCTATACGCCGACACCGACGACCTCCACTTCTTCAAGAAGAACGAGGGCCAGCCCTCGAAGAAGATAAACAACACGCCGGCCGCAAATGTGCCCTTGGCCGGAGGCCGAGACCATGGAAGCCACACCCAGCAGGACCGTAACGAACGCCAATGGCGCCCTCGGCTGGGCATGCCGAGGACTCCCCTCACGCACCCGGTGAGCACTATCCTCAACTATGCGGAAGAGCAGGACCTTTTCCCCAAGGACCCTCGGTCGACGAGGGAGATCTACGCCATCCACCAAGGCGGCACTTATTGCCGTTACCACAAAAGCACCTCCCACAATACAGACGATTGTGTCTCTTTAAAGAAGGCTATTGAACTCTTAATTCAACGGGGTGAGCTCCACCAATTCATCAAAAATGCCCCAAGGAAAAACACCGGGGAGAACACCGATAAAGAAGAAGGGGACATCGCAACAAAGAAACATGAAATCGAGAGGCTCAGTGACGGAGAGGAGTTCGAGGAGCCCCAGCCGAAGAAGCGCCACCTCCGCTAATCATGTTCCTCACCTTCGGCGTTAGTCTCAGCCTTGGGCCCTCGACCTCGAGGCACATTACCATCCCCTCGGCCTAGAGCCCTCGGCCTTGAGCGGTGAATCTTAACAAAGCCGTTGTCAAACAACGCACCCCTTGTATTCCGCTTATTTCTATGAATTTAAGTAAACTACAACACAATCCAGACATCTTATCGGCCCCTTCGAGGCCAAATGCCCAGGTATGGACGATGGTTTCTAAAGACGAGGGGCCTGCAAAAGGCCCGTGTTTTTGGAGCAGGATGCTCGCCGCGTCGCCGGCGCGCAACGCACGGCGACAGGCCTGAAAGAATGGCTGAGGTGACGAAATCCCCAAACTTGGGGGTGAAACGGCAGTCGTCGGAAACCGACCAAGCCTAGCCCGCGCCGTAAATAGACGACGGGACCCCCCAAGGTCAAGGGACGGTTCAGCGCCGGGGGACTAACAGACGAACCCCCGGACGGATCACTTGGACCCCCTTCCGGTCGAGGCGGGGAAGCAACCCCCTCGGCCGAAGCCTGGAAGAAGGAACACACATCAGGAGGACTAACATACGACCTCCTGGCACAATCAAGGGACGGCCCAGCGCCGGGGGACTAACAGGCGAACCCCCGGACGGATCACTTGGACCCCCTTTCGGCCGAGGCGGGGAATTAACCCCCTCGGTCGATGCCTGAAAGAAAGAACATACACCCGAAGGACTCCCGGAACTATCAAGGAAAGGCCCTCGGCCTCAATTCGATTCTACATCACCAATGGCCCTCGGCCTTGGCATGATTCAACGTCAGAACAGCCCTCGGTCTCAAAATCAACAATGGCCCTCGGCCTCAACATCAGAACGGCCCTCGGCCTCAACATCACCAATGGCCCTCGGCCTTGGCATAACGGTTTTGGCCTTAACGTGATCTCACATCACCAACGGCCCTCGGCTTCAGCGTGATTCCACGTCACAACGGCCCTCGGCCTCAACATCACAACGGCCCTCGGCCTCAACATAAGGACGACCCTCGGCCTCAACATCAAAACCGGCCCTCGACCTCAGCGTGAGGACATCACAATGGCCCTCGGCCTCAACATCAGACAGCCCTCGGCCTCAACATGACTCTTTGTCATAACGGTTTTGGCCTTAACGTGATCTCACCTCACCAACGGCCCTCGGGCTCAGCGTGATTCCACATCACAACGGCCCTCGGCCTCAACATCAGAACGGCCCTCGGCCTCAGCGTGATTCCACATCACAATGGCCCTCGGCCTCAACATCAGATGGCCCTCGGCCTCAACATCAACAACGGCCCTCGGCCTCAGCGTGAGGACATCACAATGGCCCTCAGCCTCAACATCAGACGGCCCTCGGCCTCAACATGACCCTATGTCATAACGGTTTTGGCCTTAACGTGATCTCACCTCACCAACGTCCCTCGGCCTCAGCGTGATTCCACATCACAACGGCCCTCGGCCTCAACATCAGAACGGCCCTCGGCCTCAGCGTGATTCCACATCACAATGGCCCTCGGCCTCAACATCAGACGGCCCTCGGCCTCAACATCAACAACGGCCCTCGGCCTCAGCGTGAGGACATCACAATGGCCCTCAGCCTCAACATCAGACGGCCCTCGGCCTCAACATGACCCTATGTCATAATGGTTTTGGCCTTAGCGTGATCTCACATCACCAACGGCCCTCGGCCTCAGCATGATTCCACATCACAACGGCCCTCGGCCTTCATCCCTCCGACATCTTTATTTGATGTCAGAGGCTATCATACAGGCCCATCGGCCTTCATCCCTCCGGCATCTTTATTTGATGTCGGGGGCAATCACACAGGTCCCTCGACCTTCATCCCTCCGGCGTCTTTATTTGATGTCGGGGGCTATCATACAGGCCCATCGGCCTTCATCCCTCCGGCATCTTTATTTGATGTCGGGGGCAATCACACAGGTACCTCGGCCTTCATCCCTCCGGCATCTTTATTTGATGCCAGAGGCTATCATACAGGCCCATCGGCCTTCATCCCTCCGACATCTTTATTCGATGTCGGGGGCAATCACACAGGTCCCTCGGCCTTCATCCCTCTGGCATCTTTATTTGATGCCAGGGGCTGTCATACAGGCCCCTCAGCCTAGCTTTCATCCCTTCGACATC